GCAACCCAGCTGGGGCGGTAAACGTCATCGTCGTCATCAAGGAAGGCAGTCGAAGAAATAGCGGAGGAAGCGCGAAGGCGAGAGAAGGGCTGACCGTACGGTTCGGGGAGGCCAAAATTAAAATCTAAAACAGAGAGGTCGTGAGCGTAGAGATTCATTTCCTATGGCTTTGAATCACTGAATCGCTCGGCAGCAGAACCAAAGCTAGAAAATTGGGATTCCGGCAAAAGAGGGGCTCCAGTGAAGTGAGAACCGGTCACCGGATGCGCGCTAGTTTTTCATAAACACGAGGTTGCCTCCGGAATCGTTCCGCCGACCCGGAGCTATTGCTAAGTCGTGCCGGCCTTAGCGTGGTTTTTGGGCCGGGCTCCTTCGATTGGGCCGAGTTTCAACGATCCACTTTTCAGGCCCAATAACAATTTTTGGGCTAAGGGCAGGAATGACGGATTTTTTTTAAATAGCCAAAAATATTACATATTGTAAGAATTTAACTTTTTTCATAGAATTTATTTTATTCTTCGTTCATGATTTTAAGATTTACCACACATACAACTTCGTTCATGATTTTAAGATTTACCACACATACAAGGCAGCATGATTACAAATTTAAAATTATTAAACAAACTAATTAAGCCATATATCACTAACTTGAAATATATTCTCTCTAAGAATCAGGTTCTCTATGTCAACTTTTCATTTAAAATATTAAGAGTGCTATATTTTTTAAATATTTATGAAATGTGGAATAGTACCTGAAATTTTTTTAAAGGATAGGGTATTTTTTGTAATTTAGCCTATAGTTTTTGTTTTTATTTCTTCTTTTAACTATTTAATATCAAAACAAATTTTATTTATTAAAAGGAATATTTCAAGTTTTATTATATTTTTCTAGATTTATATAAATAATTCAATCATATTTTATTTTGATCAAAGTTAATACCAAAATTAAGTATATATAAAATCATAACTTTTAGTATTTGTTTTAATATTTATACTAAACAAACTAATATCATACAAATTTTGACCATTAGTGTATTTTGATCAAGCTAATACCAAAATTAAGTATATACAAAATCATAACTTTTAGTATTTGTTTTATAAATTTTTTTAATATTTATACTAAACAAACTAATATCATACCAATTTTGACCATTAGTACCTTCATCGTTCATTTTTTATTAAAGTGTAAAGTGAGACATTCCGTGTCAAAATAATCGTCTTTAATTTTTACAGCACATCATTTAAAAATTTTGAAAAGTTAAAAGTTCTTTCTAAAAAAATGCTTACTTTATACAATGTGGTTTAACTATGCTTTATGGTTTTCTAATAAAATTTCATTAACCATTTATAAAATTATTAAAAGTTCTTTAATTTTATGAAATAACTGTATAAATTTGAATTTATTATTTTTTAATGAAGACGTTGTAGCGTGAAAATCGAACGCCCAAAAAAGTGTTGAAATACGTTTTTGAAGTGAGTGCAGGACTCGTAAATTAAAGAGAAGGAACAAGTTTTGATGCTCAAGTTAGTACAATTCGATGAGTTCTATGGACGAGCAATAAAAAAAATGTGCACCTGGATATAAAGGATGCTTATTTATTTATACTACTGCTAGTGAGATACTACTACGAGAATCCATGCTTCAACAATAGTTGGAGAAGGATTGAGTGCATTTCATTTATGAATATCTCGACCTCTATTTTGTTTATGACCGAAAGTCTAAGTAAGGGTATAAGATATAGTTCATTGGACTCAAAGTATGAGGTATTACTCCTCAGACTTTCTTAAATCTCTCTTATTCTCCCACATGGGCTCGCGCCCAAGGTTTTGCAGCGACCGCCGCGCCCTCCTACTCATCGGGGCCTGGCACTTGCCCCGTCTCAATCTGCATCGGTCCATGCCCCAAGTCGATCAGCGGACCGGCTCGTCACCGTTCCACATCCGACTGGGGCACATCGGTTCTTGCATTGTTTACCTCGTGCGAT